TGAGGTTAAAACATGACATATCATTAGTATTTTACATAGAAACCTGTATAAATTAATGTCAACCCTGCTTCTAAATTTAGAAATATGTGCTTTCACACAGAAAGTTCATAAAATGACATATTTTGTTGAAATATGCCTTTATAAAATTAAAACTGCCTTTAATATGGGTGTAGATGATTTTACACAATCACCTTCAAGGTATCACACCGGTAATTGTTTTCACTATGTAACTCTATATAGAATAAAAAATCATTAAAAATCAGGTATTCGAATTCATGAAAAAATATTTAGCAGGAAGTGTTAAACGTTACCAGTCACATCAGCTGACACCAAAAAATAGGGTACCTACACGGCATTTTCTGATTTTTTCCATCCGCAAACAGGAATACCCTCAAAACCACGTGTATTCAATGTGTTTATAAACATCCTGTGTGCACCCCAGGAAGTGGCCTCCTATGCCCCGAAAGAAATAGTTCCTGTCAAAAACCTTTAATATTTTACAAAGTACATAAAATATCCTAAGCACAGATACCAAAAATGTAAAAATAGAATAAGGGAAATTAAAAAAATTTCTCACAATAAAAAAATATTTCTTTATTATGTATGGAACTACAATTGACTAAGTTCATTTTGATTGGTCAATTACCGGTGTGATACCTTGAAGAACACATGTTTTAATGCTAAAATGCAAGATACTACAGGGATTTATCAGCACCTTCTCAGGGGCCGAAATACGGCTCCATTCCCAATTGAAAATGAGTTCAGTTTTCCCCCAATTTGGCAGTATTTTTTCCCAATTGGTGAACAATGCTTTTATATTTAATTATCTTGGAAAAAACGAAGTAAAACTATCAGAATGTCTGTTATTTTCATCTATTTAACTCATTTAGCAAAGCTACAGTTATAACACATGTTTAACAAGAGGCCCATGGGCCACATCGCTCACCTGAGCACAATGGCTGGGCAAAAGCACAAATCAGTTCAGTATTGAAAAGATTACCGGGAAGGGGGGGGGGGGCTTGAATTTTAAACTACCTGATGATGCTTCCATGTCAATATAACAAATGGCTTTGTTGTTCTTGAGAACATTTTAAAAAAAAAATTCCCATATATTCCTTTGTAAAAATTTGATCCCCCATTGTGGCTCCTCCCTATCCCAGGGGTCATCATTTGAACTTGAATCTACACTACCTGAGGATGCTTCCATATTAGTATGACTAAACATAGCTTTCCTGTTCTTGGGAAGAAAATATTTTTTCTATATGTTTCCATATCAAAATGACTAATCATGGTTTGCAGTTCTTCAGAAGATATTTTCCTTTACATTTCTATTTAAAACTTTGATCCTCCATTGTGGCCCCATCCTACCCATGGGGGCCATGATTTGAATAAAATAGAATCTACACTACCTGAGGATGCTTCCACATAATAATACATCAATCAGGGCTTTGCTGTTCCTGAGAAGAAGATTTTTAAAATTTTTCCTATATATTTCTATGTAAAACTTTGATCCTTCATTGTGGCCCCACCCTACCCCCGGGGGTCATGATTTGAATAAATTTGAATCTACACTACCTGTGGATGCTTCCATATAAATATATACCATCTGGGCTTTGCTGTTCCTGAGAAGAAGATTTTTCCTATATATTTCTATGTACAACTTTGATAGTCCATTGCAGCCCAGCCCTACCCCCGGGGGTCATGATTTGAACAAACTTGAATCTACACTACCTGAGGATGCTTCCATATAAATATGGCTCATCATGGCTTTGCTGTTCTTGAGAAGAAGATTCTTAAAGATTTTTCCTATATATTTCTATGTAAAACTTTGATCCTCCATTGTGGCCCTGCCCTACCCCCTGGGGTCGTGATTTGAATAAACTTGAATCTACACTACCTGAGGATGCTTCCATATAAATATGACTCATCATGGCTTTGCTGTTCTTGACAAGAAGATTTTTAAAGATTTTTCCTATATATTTCTATGTAAAACTTTGATCCTCCATTGTGGCCCCGCCCTACCCCCGGGGGTCATGATTTTAACAAACTTGAATCTACACTTCCTGAGGATGCTTTCATATGAATATGACTCATCATGACTTTGTTGTTCTTGAGAAGAAGATTTTTAAAGATTTTTCCTATATATTTCTATGTAAAACTTTGATCCTCCATTGTGGCCCTGCCCTACCCCCTGGGTTCATGATTTGAACAAACTTGAATCTACACTACCTGAGGATGCTTCCATATAAATATGACTCATCATGACTTTGTTGTTCTTGAGAAGAAGATTTTTAAGGATTTTTCCTATATATTTCTATGTAAAACTTTGATCCTCCATTGTGGCCCTGCCCTACCCCCAGGGGTCATGGTTTGAACAAATTTGAATCTACACTACCTGAGGATGCTTCCATATAAATATGGCTCATCATGGCTTTGCTGTTCTTGAGAAGAAGATTTTTAAAGATTTTTCCTATATATTTCTATGTAAAACTTTGATCCTCCATTGTGGCCCCGCCCTACCCCCGGGGGTCATGATTTGAACAAACTTGAATCTACACTACCTGAGAATGCTTCCACATGAGTTTCATCTTTCTTGGCCCTACGGTTCTTGAGAAGATTTTTAAATGATGCCATTATTTTTTCACTAAACCCTAATTATCTCCCCTTGAAAGAGGGCGTGGCCCTTCATTTGAACAAACTTGAATCCCCTTTACCCAAGGATACTTTGTGGCAAGTTTGGTAGAAATTGGCCAAGTGGTTCTTGAGAAGAAGCCGAAAATGTGAAAAGTTTACAGACAGACAGACGGACAGAGACAGACAGACGGACAGACAGACGGACGCCGGACAAAATGTGATCAGAAAAGCTCACTTGAGCTTTCAGCTCAGGTGAGCTAAAAACACTGTAAAACATCGCCAACTTTTAATCTGAATTTCCTCCGTTTTTCTGTAAATGGTGATCTTGTGTAATTATATAAATTTATTAAGTTCTTTACACCTACTCAATTGATCTACGAGCGAATGATAAGGACTGTATGCATTATTTCAGATAGAAAATATATATTTTCAATGCATTAAGACATATTAAAAGAGGACTATGAGAAAATGTGTACTAGTATAATTTTTTGCAGGAGGTTTGTAATTACATGTAATCTCCAGAAACAGATTCTATAATGACCTAAATTGGAATCTCATACACACTTGTACTTTCCTAAGTTGTATAAATACTTTATACTCATTGAAGCCAATTTTACTTTCATTAGACTATTATTCATAATTGATCTTGTATGATGAAGTTGGATCATATTTAATTGTCTGTTTGTTTGCCCACGTTAGAGTTCATGCTGAAGTGTTAAATGAATTACTCCTGAATACATGATTTAAGCAACATTTTAAATTTTTCCCAATTTCATCAAATAGCCGATAAGTTTTTCCCAATTCCCCAAAAATGGCATTTCCCAAAATCCAGATAAATCCCAGTACTAATTATATGATATATGCCATTTGTGTACCTTACGTCCAGCTTTAAATTTTTTTATGCTTAGTGAGTACAGGAAAGAGAGACTGGGAGTACTTAATCAGTCTAGACGAATTCCGAAAACATAGTCTACGGAAGTGAGAAATTCAGACAAAAAGTTTAGGCCTTTCATTTTTTTTTAAATTAGCATCTATGGTTAAATAATTTGGATATACTTATAGGTACGTGAAACTCTTCAAGTAGAGTACTAGTATATTCTATAGGTATAATTTAATCACCATAAACTGATTTGTGCCATGTTGTGTCTTAAGGAAAGGTAACTCAGATGTGAAAATCGTGTATAGGAATGGCATATAGTGTGCTTCAATTTGGTATTGTTTTGCACACAGAAAGGGTTTCTTGTATTGTTTTGTACGCAAAAGCATTGATCAAAACAGAGAGAAATAAGCCCTTAACAATGTCGGATAAACCAAGAGGGGGCGTGGGGATGTGTATAAATATGTAGGTGGAAAACTTCATTATATTAAAAAGTACATATCGAAATACGTTGAAATGGATAATTTTATAAAATACAAGATTTGGCATTCTTGCAAAAGAACATATAGATGGATTTTCTCAAGCAATCAATATCTTGCCGAGGGAGAAATGATGTCCTTAATAAACTGTATTTCCTCAATACAGACCTGCCATCAGTTTCCTGAAACCAAAAATTTCTAAGAATATTTCGCAATAAAGATGTCACTAATTTTTGTAAATACAAACCTCGGAAAGTAAAGAGGAATGATTTCATTCCTTGAATTTTAATTTTCATATGAAATTATGGACAGTTTGCAGTCTCTTGGCTTGTTATTGTTACTGGCATACTGTGTTCTTTAAATTTGAAATAATACGGCTTAAGTGTGACTTAATATTTAATCTTCACCAAAAACGTACTCATAAATAAATATTTCTAAAAAGAATAGTGAGTAATGCGTAACAATGAATAAAGTCAACAGCTGAACCACAAACGAACAATACAGGTAGATGTAAATAGCATCCATGGGTAAGGAGAGGAAAAAACTATTAATCAAGCGGTCCCAGAGGGCATAAACGTTTCGACCAAAATATTAAAACTAATGCAAAATTTATAAAAAACAAAAAAAAATTAAGAGATAAAATATAAGTGTTTCAAAGGTCTAATATTCATGCACTAACAAAATATATTCATTTAACAAAGTCTTTAATTTTATTTTTGTTATAGTTAGTATACAAAACACAAAGGTATGGCGGAGATAAGCCGCCTTAAAAGTGGAGGACGTCGTGATCGCAAGAACAAAGACACTGGTATGAAAATGCACGTATTTTTCAATGTACCTTTTTCTTTAATTGACAAATTACATAATGGCTTTTATGATGTTCGAATTAGGTAAACTTATATCAAATATTTAATACGTCAATGAGGGAAATATTTAACATGTAAATATATATTTAATATGCTTTTTTATTTAAGGTAAGAGTCCTACAACTGGTGAGACAACCATCAATATCTACCATACTGAACAACATGGCAGTCATAACACCGTTATAATGAACTCTCCATCTTCAAGAGGGGATAAAGAAGGTTTTTTTTAAAACAATTTTTCTGTTTTACTGTAAAATCACTTATATTCCAGGGGCCAAATTCTTGTGGTTTAAGTAATAACTATTGATTCATGGGGATTTGATTTCTTGGTTTGAGAAAAGACATGATATTGTAGTTTGAAAATTTTACATTTCATGGGGGTCATGAATTCATTGGTCTGTTCATATCGAGGAAATTAAACTCAAATGAAAACTAGTGATTTCACAGTATGTAGAACTGATATTTTAGCAAAAATCTAAAACTATTCCTTTCTTATTTTCTTTTACTCAAACACTTTTTGTTGCCCATAAACATTGTTGTAAAGAGATGTTCACAAAATACACTATCAATTGCCATTGTGTAAGTGAGTGTGTGAATTTGTGCAACTATTTGTCCTTTTAAAGGAAGGCCTTATATATAAGGAATTAGGAAATAAATTCAGAAAACATATTTCTTTTTCTTATTTTTCAGAGGATCCTTTTGATAGGAACGAAATATTAATTGGTATGGTAAATAGCATCCTCAATCCAACTAATGCCCCAAAGCCATCCACCATGTCGGTCCAAGATTTTAAGGAACAATTCAGAAAAGAATACAAAGAAGAGTTTGATAAAGTTTCTGGAGTTTCTGTACCTCAGTTTGTTGATAAAAATAGTCAATTCTTTGAAACAGTTCAGGACAAAAAACTCAGAATGATGATAAAGCAAAGGAGGAGAAAAAATCCAAAGAAGAAAAAGAGAACAAAAAGAGAAGATCCACATTTAGAACCCATATCCCTGACTGAGGATATATCTGAAGCTGAATATATGACTGCAGAATCAGGACAGTGCTCAGAGGAATCTTCTGAGGAGAGTTCACCAAATGAAGCTTATTTAGAATCATGCAAGGAAAGACTGGGCAAAATGTTAAGTGACACATCTGATAGTGATGATAATGCAAAAACAGTTAAAGAGTCTGATCCAATGTTTTCAGAGTGGAAGCAAGTTTGCAGAAATAAAAGTCAAGTCCCACCTCCTTCTTCCGAAAATCAGTCTGGGCTACAACGACAGTTTCACAGAACAATGTCAGAAGAAGAGAAGAGAGATTTAACAAGTAGACTTCTTCAAAGAAAGGATTCCCATGATTTTATTTTGAAACAATCTGTTAAAGAGTATTTAAATCATCCTTGTAAATTAGTTTTAGATCTCGTGAGTCTATGGAACACCACGGCACGTACGACTTCATATATTGTTATAAGACTTGACCAAAATATGAATATGGCATTAATTTCCGACTTTCTCAAATTAGATAATTTTACATCTTTACCTCAATACCAATATTTTGGAGTTGAAATTATGAAGAGTCTTTATGGGGTATTTGAAATTCCATCTAGTCACGGAGCAGGCCAGCCAGTTATAACAAAGACCGAAATGAGACATTCTGAAAATCAGGCAGCCTGTTGGGAGCGTGATCAGCTATGGATCAGGCAAACTACATCTCCCTCTGCCCTTTCCTTGTCAGATCCATTACTTGCTATGATTTATCAATGGTTCGCTGGTGTTCCAGATTCTCTAACAAAACCGAAATCAGGTAAAGTACAAGATGAAAAAAGTGCACCTTCAATTCCTACTCCCACAGAAAACAAAGACTTCATCACTGACAAAAAAAGGAGCTCCCTGGAGATTTTTCGAATCGCTGTGAGAGGTTTTGTAAAGGGACAATACATTCTTCTCGCTGGAAACATGCCAAAAGGGATGCAGAATATGGAAGCAATATCAACAGTCCCTTGGATTTATGTATTTGATTTTGACTTCACAAGCAGAGATTCAGGTCTTCTATGTGTAAATGAAAATTTTATAAAGAAAAGACGGTCTCTGCATCTAACGAATTGGCTTCAAACACCAGCAGGAATTTCAGAAAATGGAACATCATGGACATTTCTGCGTGGTAGAAGAGACAATCCTGAAAGTGTCTTCAAAAATACTAATGACTTGAGAGACTGGCTTCATAGAGTTAAGGGAAACATTGATTTACACATTGAGCACATTCAAAGATATATCGAAGATTACACAGTCATTACTGTAATAATGTTTTGGCCTTCAGATGAGAGCTTAGCTCAGCATATGCATAAATTTTTAACACGGTTGGATGAAGGGCTTGATCCAAAGCCAAAGATAATTTTGTGCATTCCTGGAAAACCGGTAACTGACATTGGCAATTCCATACTGACAGTGTTAAAAAACGAAATGGGTGAGAACCTTATCATAATAGACTGTGATTTGAAACTTGTGTGTGGTTGTATCATTGACATTACTAAAAGTCACCAAATACAAGCACATGTAAAATATACCTTACCCACTGCTGATGACTTCAGTGACCCCTCCATTGAGGACTGTGATGCAGCATGGCTTAAAGAAGAACTTGAAGTCCTGTACCTTTCGAATCCATATACAAAAGGCAAAATAGATGTGAAAGCTCTGGAAGAGGAGGGTGATTCATTTTTCCGGGGAGGATCTCTACATTGGTTTGCATGGTACGAAGTTGGTGCCGGTCATTTTGACGCACAGCGTGACCTCATGACTGCTGTAATGAAAGCTATCAAGGTGTTCATTGATGAAAACAGATCAGGAGTAGTGACACTTTACCATGCCCCTGGTTCTGGAGGAACTACTTTGGCCCAGAGAATACTCTGGGAATTCCATACACAGATTCCATGTGCGCATGTAAAGTTGAGGTCCACATTGCCAGTAGCAAATCTCGTTGAGCGTATTGAAATGATGTATGCAAAAACACACAGACCAGTCTTATTATTGCTTGACGGTGATGATGAAGTCAAAGTTAAACAACTGATTAGAATTCTTAAAACCAACTACAGATGTTACATAATTATTCTTTACGTGAAAAGATACCCATATATGCAAAAGAAAGGTAATAAGCTTTTCCTGCAGGGAACTGTTTCCAAAGTGGAAGCAAAACGATTGGCACTTAAATTCAAAAATCAGTGCAAGGATGACACAAAGAAACAAGAGCAGTTAAGCAAATTTTGCGAAGATGTTGAAAATGGAAAGCAGCATCTCGTGTACGAGTTTGGACTTGCTGCCTACTTGCATGAATACATAGGTATTGGCAAGTATGTGAAGGGCTATTTGTGGCCAGCAAAAAAGAGTGACACGGAGGCATTTTCTCTAGGGAGAAAACTACTATCATACCTATCTCTAGCCTATTACTACGGTCAAACTGCTTTGCCTTTGCAATTTTTCTATGCATTACTTCACAAACCCCAAAATTACCTTATTGAAATGGATGATTTGCCGCAACCAGTCTCACAATTTGTAGTTTTTGATAAAAACGAATGCAAATCAAACAGCATTCGAGTTTGTCATTACCTAATTGCCAAGGAAATTCTGGAACAGGTTCTTGGTAATGGTTCAGAGGAACGAAGCACGCAACTTTGTTTGACAGCGAGACAGAACCTTGCGCATTTTTGCGAAGAGTTTATCGAATATGCAAGCAGAAAAGGGGTAAAATCAGGAAACATTGTTTATCTTCTGACAAGAATTTTTATTTTCCGTGATAATAAGGATATGGGTGAGAATGCTGAACAAATACGAAAGAAACCTGTTCTTTCTAGACTTATGTTAGATATTAGTTCAAAAGGTCCATTTTTTTCAGAACGTTTGAACGTTCTCAAAAAATTAACGGAAGCCTTCCCAAATGACCAAAATTTCCATGCACATCTTGGACGCTTTTATGCCTACTGTCGACCAAATGAAGACGACGAAGCTGAAAAATGTCTTCAGAAGGCTACAGAAATCTGTGAAAGACAAATAGGAAACAAAACCAAAGAAGAACTGGATGAAAGGCTATTGCATTCATTAATGCATGTTTATCATATATATGGCACGGTGCTGCAGAAGAGGATAGCCAGATACACTGGCCAATCCCCAACAGATGAACCAGACATCGAAACAACAGAAGAGGTATTTGATGAGAGGTTACAAGAACTTATCCAACTTGCTAAGTTGTCTTGTGAATACTTTAAGAAGTGTAGGAACTTCACGCCAGATGGTCACGAATCATGCTATGGTTTTGTTGGTGAGATAACAGTTCGTCTACAAATATGTGACTTTATTGAGAGAAACTTTAAGGAACATGATGAGTCATCAGGAATAAAGGCATATCTCTCTTACAGCGGTGACACTTATTCCACTGGAAGGAAATTTGTAAAGAAAAGTGTTTATTGTATCGATAATTTACTCATGGAATGTTACTACACTTTAGAGGGTGATGACATCGATCATTCAGTGCAGAAGGTAATATTTTGGTATAACCATCTTTTCAGTAAACATGCTGTTGATTTAGAAGATCTAGCAGAAGGTGACAACATTCATGCATACCGACTTCAGATTGCTGCAAAGAAACTGAAGTACAGCTGTGGCGAAACAAACTTGATGATGCTTGAAAAAATTGACAGAGAAGAAGACATCACTGCAATTGTTCATTTGTACGAAAATATCTTTAGGGAAACCATATCAGTAGAAAGCAAATCAGTATTAGACAGAGACTACACAGAATGGATCTTTGCCATCAGACACAGGCTATTCAATCAAGTCTACTCAGTTGAAACAGTGTTACAACATGTTCGCAGGTGGCATGACTTTTTACATTCTCCTATGTCAAAGTTCTACCTATTTATTTTAACAAGTCTTCTTGGGTTTGGAAAGAACAACACAAATGGAAGCAGTGAGTCTTTATCCGAAGCAAACATTCTAAAGAAAGACATGGAAAAAGTAAGCAGGTATGTTTTGAAGCCCAAATACCCAAGAGAATGGCTACGGAAAAACGGAGAGGGAATTAAAACTCTGGAGCCAGGAATACGATTTATGGGATATGTTGTCTTAGATGACCGCAATCTAAGAGAAGATATATATGAAACACTTCGAATTTGTAAAGGTACAATTTGTGCACCAAACAACAAGAAACTCGGAGGTTTCATTTCTCTCGATCTTGGAAACAATGTGGTTCCTGTCAGGGTATTTTATATCCCAAACAAGGCAAATTTAGCTAGCACTGCTCACGCTGAGAAACGTGTCGAATTTATTCTTGGGTTTAGCCTTCATCATGGATGGGAAGCTTTCAATGTATTCCTTCTTAAAAAGTATCCGTGCCCAAAGCCACAGTGTAACGCTCACATAGAACTAACCACTGCAGACGATAATGTAAAATGTCCTGGATGTCAAAAGACTGTGCACAGAGATGAATTTACAGAAGTTCTGTAAAGAAGAATGCGATGCACATGTTCCCATTCATGTTTATATCTTTAATTATTATTATTATTATTATTAAATCTATAATAATAGTAAATCAATGTTAATTTCCAATAATTATACTTGCAAGTATGTGCATTACTGAACTTTTTTAAATGGATAAGTCTTTATTGTTAATTTCTAGTCTAAAATGGAATATTATGAACAAGAATTTTTGACCATTTATTAGTAATGCATATAACAATTCTATGATATTTGAAAAATTGGAAAATTTACGAAATGAATATTTGAAAAAAAATGTAGATTTATTACAATTAAGAAAAAACATATCGAAAACTGAGTAACTGTATCCGTGTTGTACTTACTTCCGACAACAATATATAATACATTCACTACGGAAACTACACCTTTTATGAATATAAATGTAGGAAATTCAGAATGCCATTATAAGAATTTCAAGGAAATATGAACATATATGTTACAGGTACAAGTAATTATTTACCAGACTGACTTTTACAATTATAACAGTACTATGTATGTGCAGTTTGCGAAAATGAAAACTTTATTTTCAGTTATTTTTATGTTGCAATTATGCATGCTGATACTCTGTGACACAAACCGTTCCCTTTGTGATGGGTAGGTACATGTATTTACGTATATTAAACGAAAAGGCAAAATAACCTACGTGTACAATATGATGAACATTTAGAAAATATTTGCCCCATTGCTTTGAATTTAGCTTAAATGCCTGATTTTATGAACGAAAAATTGTGAAAATTCTGTTTTCTAAAAAAAAAATGATTTGTTTATTTAGGAACTGCTGTGTCGGTTACAAATGGAATATAGATAGAACATCATGTGTTCGTAAGTTAAAAAAAAATAAGTGCTTGTAAAATTCTTAATATGTTAACTTCATTCTTTACACAAGAAAATACATGTCAAATCCACATCAAATTGGAAAACGTGCCATTGAAAATAAAAATGAACGTTAGTGCACCCTTTTATTGGAATAATTAAATAAATCTTAAATTTTTATAGCATGTGCTATAGGCTTTTGGGGAGAAAATTGCTCTTTGATATGCCGTTATCCTTCATTTGGTAAATTGTGTCAATCAGAGTGCACCTGTACTAAATATGACTGTGATCACAGTAGAGGATGTCCACGCTTAGGTAAGTTATCCTCTCCAAGTCTGTCACTCCTGTTCTTTATTGAAAATTAGTATAACTTCTCGATTGATCTGTTTACTATGAAGGAGCCAGTCATTTAGCATCGATATCTTAAATTTTTTTAAATATCTTCGATTTTTCAAACTTTTGCATTTGGTAAAATAAGCTAGATTTTATCATTTTTTTCTTTATTGTATATATTATACACAACAATTATTGTTTTTCCTTTAATAATTAAGCATCAATGGCTATAACAGGGAAATATATGCACCGTGTCCACACGCGATTTATGACAGCGTGGAAGCAAAATTTTCCTTCAATGGTCGGGAATAATTTCTATAATAAAATAAATGAAACTAAATTTTAAAACCCCTGTTAATATCTGAGATAATGTTTTTCTCACCTATCCATGTCTAATTAAAAGTAAATGACCGATTTATCTCAATACTAGCTTCAAACATGTAGTTTTGATTAAAAAACGCCTTAGAAACATTGCAATAAAGACGAGAATTAAAACAGCTGGTATGAATTTGATTTTTTATCATATAAAAGTATATATACAATACCTATTTTCCTCCAGGAAATAAAATTTAAGAGAATGATGTTATTTAATTTTTTTTATCTTGAGGATGTCCACTTGGATTTTCCGGGAAATATTGCGAACTTTCATGTAAGTTTCCAAGTTACGGTCTGGGATGTCAGATGGAGTGCTTATGTACTGAAGATGCCTGTAACCATGCCACAGGATGTGCTAGTATTGTTCAATTCTGCACAATATGTTACTGAGAAGAATAAAATACGATATCTAAAATATTTTTATAAACATTCAGACGCTAAAAATTTTTAATATAAACTCTAGTTTTTTCCCCTTACCTCTCAGTCTCCAAGTAAAATATTTCAAGCATATTTTTATGGTATTAAAATAGAGATTTAGAAAAAAAAAGCATAAGAGTCCCGAAGATTGCAAGCTTATATTCAAATAAAAAAATTATACACTTTTTTATAGGAAGAATATGATTTACAAGTAAAATTATATTTTTCATCATGCGTGTGATTTAATGTTTCAGATCTGTCAAATGAAACCACACAAGAGATTATTACATTAGATTCCAACCCCGAGGTTTTGAAAGCTGAACTGAGGGGCTCTGCAACATATACTTCACACTCTGACTTGTTACAAATGACGAACCACAAACCAAAAAATGTGGAAAGGGGTACTAGTATACCAAATTTCAATATTTTTTCCTGTCATCTGTTAGTAGAATAAGCTTTTACACACACTTGCAAACGCATCCGTTTGCAATGTAAGTACTTTCTTTCTTTAATTTAACAATGCACATATATTTTTTTTCTATTTTTTACATTTTTGCTCCGTAATATCGATATGATAAAAAAAGCTTTTTAGTACATTTCATGGAGATTATTTAAAAATATTAAAAAGACATATTTTCGTTGCTTTTTTCGCAGAGAGAACATGTCCATCTTTCTCTTATTGGGCTTTCCTAGGAGTAAAAGCTAAAGCCATGTTAGTGAGCATAATCACTCTCGGATTAATTTCTCTAATTTTAATCTTACTGCACGTGTTGTTAAAAATCCTATTAAAACGAAGAGACTCTCGATCGACGCCCAGAAGAAAAGAAAGTTTCCATCCATAACATATATAACTTGTACGTTGTATGGCCGCAGTGATAAATGGATTACAGTGGGAGATAATTTTGAAGCTACTTTATACAAAATAATTTGTCATAATTTACTAGTAGCAGTCTCATATTATTAGTTTAAAAATAAATGATAGAGTACATCTTCCTTTAACTTTAATTTATTTTTGTGTTTTCATCAATTGTGGATGTGTAACTGATACATGTACATGCACTGAACTGTTTTCGGGTTAATTGTTGGAGAATAGAGTAAATAAAAACACACACAGACAAACTTCATAATCTAGCTATTTACCTAGGATTCGGAAATTTTAAGCGAATGCAAAGTATTGCAGGTTTTTGTTGGTTTGATATGTTTTGTATCGTAACATTATAGCATGTTCAAAGGTAGGCTTGAACGATGGGAATGAATTTATTTTAAGCAAAACACATGCATTATAGCTAGGTCTTTTTGAAGAGAGAGAGAGAGAGAGAGAGAGAGAGAGAGAGAGAGAGAAAAGTAAGAGAGAATTTAACGGTGCACAATTGTTTAAGTGAGAAGAATCAGTTATAGAGATGCTTAAGCTTCTGATCGACAATATCTGTGTGGTTTTTGGAGACGAGGTCTTCCAACAATCTGTGGGAATCCCCATGGGAACCAACTGCGCCCTGTTATTAGCAGACCTATTTTTATATGTAGCAGAATGTATTCAAAACCTTATGATGAGAAAAAGAAAACTCTTCCTGTGGTCTTCAACTCGACATTTAGATATATCGACGACGCATTAACAATTAACAATATTTATTTCCATTCATATGTAGACAAGATGTATCCTAGTGAGCTTTAAATAAAAGATACCACAGAGTCTGACACAACTGTTTCATATTTGGATATTTTACTAGAAAAAGACGTTAATGGTAATTTAACAACCAAGCTTTATGATACACGTGATTATTTTAAATTTTTCATCGTCAACTTCCCTTACTTATGCAGCAATATTCCCCCAGCACCTGCATATGGGGTTTATATCTCTCAGTTGATTCGATACGCAAGAGCATGCATTACATGTGGACAATTTCTAAAACAAGATAAGTTATTGACAAACAAGTTTATGAAACAAGAATTTCAACAGTTTCTTTTAAAGTCATCATTTTGTACTTTATATGGTCGAAACTATAATCTTGTAAGCATTAACAATCTATCACTAAGTCAAATGCTGACTTTTCCATACTAATTGTTGGGCCATTATATATTTACACACTGAATGGTCGAGGATTTTCCGTTATTTCCGGATCATGACAAGGAGAACACGGCGGGTGTGACCGATAGGCAGGGAATACTCACTCCTCCATGGCACCTGATCCCACCTCTGATGTTTTAGAGGTCCATGTTTGCTCTGCTCCTGATTATAGTTTGAGCTTGTTGCCGGTCATTTTGACGCACAGCGCGACCTCATGACTGCTGTAATGAAAGCTGCTGTAATGAAAGGTGTTCATTGATGAAAACAGATCAAGAGTAGTGACACTTTGCAATGCCCCTGGATATGAGGAATTACTTTGGTCCAGAAAATACTCTGGAAATTCCATACACAGAATCCATGTGCCCAAGTAAACTAGACGTCCATATTGCCAGTAACGAATCTCGTTGAGCGTATTGAAATGATATAAATGTATGCAAAAACGCACAGACCCGTCTTATTATTGCTTGACGGTGATGACGAAGTCAAAGATAAACAACTGATTAGATTCTTAAAACCAACTACAGATGTTACATAATTATTCTTTACGTGAAGAGATGCCCATATAAACAACAGAAAGGTAATAAGCTTTTCCTGCAGGGAACTGTTTCCAAAGTGGAAGCAAAACGATTGGCACTTAAATTCAAAAATCAGTGCAAGGATGACACAAAGAAACAAGAGCAGTTAAGCAAATTTTGCGAAGATGTTGAAAATGGAAAGAATCATCGCGTGTACGAGTTTGGACTTGCTGCCTACTTGCATGTTAACAAAGGTATTGGCAAGTATTTGAAGGGCTATTTGTGGCCAGCAAAGAAGAGTGACACGGAGGCATTTTCTCAAGGGAGATAACTGCTATCATACCTTTCCTTAGCCTATTATTGTGGTCAAACTGCTTTGCTTTTGCAATTTTTCTATGCATTGCTTCACAAGCCCCCAAATTACCTTATTGAAATGGACGATTTGCCTCCACCAGCATCACAATTTGTTG